ATGTTGCTTTTTCTACCCAGTAGAATTTCTCTGTATGTCATGCGTTCGCCATAGATATTTCCTATTTGTCATCGGATACCCATGCTAATGGCATGTACTGAAAACGCCTATATATATGCACCAGAACTGCTGCTCCAAAAAAATGTCAAGTATCGCTCAGAGAGCTCTTTAAGACCAATACGTATCACAGTCGTAGGTTGCCGCAGTTGCAATGGCTCAACAGTCGAAATAAGTAATATCTGTATATTCAAGAAACACACTCTCCTGTACAACCACTGCCCACTATGCCGGTCACCATCTCACACAAATACACGAGAAACAGCGCAGATCCTGATTCGCATGGAACCAAACGGTCACTCATCGCTTCTACCACACCAACTTAGACAAAGACTACTGCGTCCAAAACATACCCTCCAGATAACTGGGAAAAACAAAAACTTCTTCAAATCTCCATGTAAATGCAATTCGACACCACACAAACAAATTCCTAAATATACACCATCAAAACTAAATCTTCATTCCTATCCACAGAGTAAAAACACCGATCCTCCCAGTTCCCCGCTACCAGATTCCATCAGCACCGCAAATTCTTATTCAACGTTGAAATGAAGCTTGTTCCACTTCACAAACCATGTATTAGCCAAAATCATAACGCTCCATATCCGAACTCCATTCCCCTTATATACAAAAGCCTACCACATCAATCCTTCCAATAAACAAACCAATCCGAATTGACCATCAAATTCTCACCTCCGCTGCACGTATACGCATGTCGACCAAATCTAACAACATACCCGTGAGCCTTTCTCCGTCTCAAAACAGAATTTCTCAGCATCACATCTCCTTTCTCACTGCGAAAAACAATGTCTCTTTCAGGAACAACTACGAACGATATCTACAATCGATCGTAAAAGCGGCTTCCCAGTTAAGGTTCACACCCACAATCCATACATATTCCANGAAATGGACCTAGATCATTCCCTCGACTGAAAGGAGGGTCATATCAAAAAAAAGTGGTAAAAAACCGGAAATTCGTTTGTGTGTGTGTGTTTCTGTCGCAGGTCAAAGGTCAAAGGTCAAAAAAACATTTTTTCGAAGAATGCTCAAAACTTCATAAAACATGGTTTGGGAGGGTGGTTGAGGGTGGATTTTCGTTGAAGAAAGCATCGAGATTAACTATGATAGCGAAGGTGGGCGTAGACCGGCTGAGCGCTCGCGGAGAACGCTACACGCGTGGTATACATTTATGGGTGCTGCAGTGGCTACAGGTAATCGATGGAGTCAATCAGTAGCGATGCAGGCTTTGACAAGATTGAAATCAACCTCGATGGTGGATCAGAGTGAAAGGAAGGGTGAATGAGAAGATATAATCTACAGATTGACGTGTCAAAGTGGCAATGGAATCTATAAATGAACGGCTGGAATGGAGAATAAATATCAGAGTAAAAAACATTAATCAAACTCGTATTGCAGAAATCAGATTCAGCAACGTCTTTGCGTACAAAACTGCAACCGACGTAACCGTGTTCTGCAATGGAAAACCGGAACGATAAGGAGCGCAAGTGTCGAAATTTTGAGCATGTTGCTTTTTCTATCTAGTAGAATTTCTCCGTATGTCATGCGTTCGCCATAGATATTTGGTATTTGTCATCGGATACCCATGCTAATGGCATGTACTGAAAACGCCTATATACCTGCACCAGAACCGCTGCTCCAAAAAAATGTCAACTATCGCTCAGAGAGCTCTTTAAGACCATTCCGTATCACAGTCGCAGGTTGCGGCAGTTGCAATGGCTCAACAGTCGAAATAAGTAATACCTGTATATTCAAGAAACACCCTCTCCTGTACAACTACTGCCCACTATGCCGGTCACCATCTCACACAAATGCATGAGAAACAGCGCAGATCCTGATTCGCATGGAACCAAACGGTCACTCATCGCTTCTACCATACCAACTTAGACAAAGACTACGGCATCCAAAAAATACCCTCAAGATAATTGGGGAAAACCAAAACTTCTTCAAATCTCAAACTAAATGCAATTCGACAACACAAAAGCAGATTCCTACATATACAGCATCAAAACTAAATCTTCATTCGTATCCACAGAGTAAAAACACCGATCCTCCCAGTTCCCCACTACCGGATTCCATACGCTAAGCAAATATTTATTCAAGGTTGAAATGAAGCCTCTTTCACTTCACAAACCATGTATTAGCCAAAATTATAACGCTCCATATCCCAACTCCATTCCCCTTATATACAAAAGCCTACCACATCAATCCTTCCAATAAACAAACCAATCCGAATTGACCATCAAATTCTCACCTCCACTGCACGTATACGCATGTCGACCAAATCTAACAACATACCCGTGAGCCTTTCTCCGTCTCAAAACAGAATTTCTCAGCATCACATCTCCTTTCTCACTGCGAAAAACAATGTCTCTTTCAGAAAAAACTACGAACGATATCTACAATCGATCGTAAAAGCGACTTCCCAGTTAAGGTTCACACCCACAACCTATACATATTCAACTGCGCATATCTGCGAACATAGAGGAGAGCGTTTCTACCTCTCGCAATGTGTATTTCAACCAGCCAAATACAGATTCTGACTCGGAATGAGAAGCTCTATTTGATGAAAAAACACCCGAAACGATATCTACGATGATGACGAAATTCGGATTCTAAATCGAAATTTTCATTTTCTCTGCAGCCACACACGTGTGCATTGTATGTGCGAAGATGGAAGGGAGCGTTTCTCCCTTTCGTAATTCCCTCGACTGGAAGGAGGGTCATGTCGAAAAAAAGTGGTAAAAAGACTGAAATTCGTTTGTGTGTATGTGTGTGTGTGTGTCTGTCGCAGGTCGCAGGTCAAAGGTAAAAGGTCAAAAATAAATTTTCTTGAAATTACTCAAAACTTCATAAAACATGGCTTGGAAGGGGTTTGGAGGCTGAAAGTTGGTTGCGAGGGGTGGACACGTGAGGGGAGAGGTCGATGTTGAAAGTACGTTGAGATCTGAGGTCAACGGTCCACAAGAGAATTTCATTATGAGCTGAACAAAGATTAGGTAAAAGATAGTTTTTNGTGTCGAAATTTTGAGCATGTTGCTTTTTCTACCCAGTAGAATTTCTCCGTATGTCATGCGTTCGCCATAGATATTTCGTATTTGTCATCGGATACCCATGCTAATGGCATGTACTGAAAATGCCTATATACCTGCACCAGAACTGCTGCTCCAAAAAAATGTCAACTATCGCTCAGAGAGCTCTTTAAGACCATTCCGTATCACAGTCGCAGGTTGCCGCAGTTGCAATGGCTCAACAGTCGAAATAAGTAATACCTGTATATTCAAGAAACACCCTCTCCTGTACAAACACTGCCCACTATGCCGGCCACCATCTCACACAAATGCATGAGAAACAGCGCAGATCCTGATTCGCATGGAACCAAACGGTCACTCACCGCTTCTACCACACCAACTTAAACAAAGACTACGGCATCCAAAAAATACCCTCAAGATAATTGGGAAAAACCAAAACTTCTTCAAATCTCAAACTAAATGCAATTCGACAACATAAAAGCAGATTCCTACATATACAGCATCAAAACTAAATCTTCATTCGTATCCACAGAGTAAAAACACCGATCCTCGCAGTTCCCCACTACCGGATTCCATACGCTAAGCAAATATTTATTCAAGGTTGAAATGAAGCCTCTTTCACTTCACAAACCATGTATTAGCCAAAATCATAACGCTCCATATCCCAACTCCATTCCCCTTATATACAAAAACCTACCATATCAATCCTTCCAATAAACAAACCAATCCGAATTGACCATCAAATTCTCACCTCCGCTGCACGTATACGCATGTCGACCAAATCTAACAACATACCTGTGAGCCTTTCGCCGTCTCAAAACAGAACTTCTCAGCATCACATCTACTTTCTCACTGCGAAAAACAATGTCTCTTTCAGAAAAAACTACGAACGATATCTAGAATCGATCGTAAAAGCGACTTCCCAGTTAAGGTTCACACCCACAATCTATACATATTCAACTGCGCATATCTGCGAACATGGAGGAGAGCGTTTCTCCCTTTCGTAATATGAATTTTAACCATCGAAATACAGATTCTGACTCGGAATCAGAAGCTCTATTTGATAGAAAAACACCCGAAACGATATCTACGATGGTGACGAACTTCGGATCCGAAATCGAAATTTTCATTTTCTCTGCAGCCGCACACATTCACATTGTGTGTGCGAACATGGAAGAGAGCGTTTCTCCCTTTCGTAATTCCCTCGACTGGAAGGAGGGTCATGTCGAAAAAAAGTGGTAAAAAAACTGAAATTCGTTTGTGTATGTGTGTGTGTGTCTGTCGCAGGTCAAAGGTAAAAGGTCAAAAATAAATTTTCTTGAAATTACTCAAAACTTCATAAAACATGGCTTGGAAGGGGTTTGGAGGCTGAAAGTTGGTTGCGAGGGGTGGACACGTGAGGAAAGGTTGATGTTGAAAGTACGTTGNTGTGAAAGTTGTTTCTAGTGTTAATTTTGCTTTTGGCATGTCTGGTTTATATTCTCAGTTAAATCCGCATAGTTTCACAAAAATAAAACATGTCTTTTGCACGGCATAGGTTATATGATCAAGAATTGTTTGAAAGATTCGCCTGAAACATTTCAATTCTAGCCAATTCTAATTTGAACGAAAAGAAGATATATCCGTCTATTGAAGTGCATCAAGTGCGATGAAGTGCACTGCAGACATATGGGAAAAGAACGAGAGAGAAAGAGAGAGAGAGAAACTTCGCGTATATACCTTGATGAATATAATTTGTAGACGTTCGTTAATGAAAAGGAAAGGAAAGAGAAGAAAAAAAACCGTCATAACTGTTGCTGAGATTACTGTAATTAAGTACAATTACATTTTAGTCAAGCTAAAATATTGCTCCGCCGTATTCGTATCAATCCATTGATTATCTTGAAGAAAGGAATGAGTTTTCATAACACAAGTGATCAATTAACATCGTCATTTGATGATAGTGGCGAAATTAGGTCAAGTCGAAGAACTTCATCTCGGATTAGTCCGAAGGAGACCGCAAGTCCACGACGCAAATCTACTGTTCGAGGTGGAATCTTGAAGAAAAGTGCCTCTCGTAATTCGAGAAAATCTTCCAAAGGAACGCCAAAGTCAAGAAGAAAAGAAAATGAAAGTGATGCTGATTCACAATTCGAAATGGATTATTCGAATAGAGATGAGAATGACAACTCAGGTCCACCTGAAAATCAAGAAAATGAAGAACAGGACATTCACAACGTATCAACAGCTAGTGCTGACACTGTTTTCGATGAACACTTCAATTCAAACAGCACGACAGTTGTACCAAAACGAGCTATTGATCATTTCGACAAGAGCAATGTTACTGAAACTGGCAGACTTAAATGTTCAATATGTTTCCAAGTAAGACGACTTCGTTTTTATTCATTACTTGAAAGGTTGCATGGTAGAAAGCTGTTCAATTCAGACTGATTTAATAACCTTTTAGTAAAAAGTACAGAGATATACTTTGGTGGTGTAATGAAAAATCCAATTACGTGTTGTACTTTTGATCTTTTTTACTGTTTTTTACAGGAATATACATATAATCCTGCTTCGGATAGCAACTTACGAAGTCATTTGGGTTTCAAACATGGCTATTATGATTATTTATATCCATCTCAAGTGAAACAACGTGCAAATCGAGAAAACAAATCTGAAATTGCATCACATTTGAAGAAAACACTGACGCTGCAGCCGTAAAATGTATTGTCAAGGATGGTTTACCTTTCGGAACATTTCGACGATCTGGTATGCAAGAATTTTTGGAGAAAATCAAACCAGGTTACCGTGGTCCAACTCGACAAACTGTACGAAAACGTTTAGATACAGTTTATCGAGAACGAAAGACTTCGTTGAAAGAAAAATTTCAAACAATTCCGTTCATATGTTTAACAACTGATCTTTGGATGAGTCCTCGACGACATCATTTTTTGTCTATAACAGCTCATTATCATGATGAAAACTATCGGATGTTTTCGAATGTTATTTCCTTTCGATCTTTTCGTGGTCGACATCTGGCTCCTCGACTAAAAAAATTCATTATTAATGAAATTAGGAAATTAAACATTGAATCAAAAATCTTTTCAATAACCACCGATAATGGTAGTGATATTAAAAGCGCAACATCATCTGATGAATTTGGAATTCGATTTTCTTGTGATGCTCACAATATCAATCGACTGATATCAACTGGTTTTGATTTATGGAGAAAAACATCGAAAAAGGTAAATCAATATCTTATCATGAAAGAGTAGGATATCTCAATGTTGATCTAATTTTCACCATTAATTTCTATAAATGCTATCCATATGATATACTTACTTCGTTTTATATTCCCGTATATTGCTTCTCTCGTTTTCTTGAACGATTTAGCACAATTGATTGAATTATTTTTCTATATTTAGTATAAATAACGAAGGAACACAATCAACAACAGCAACATCCTCAGCTACATCAATGATAACAACTATATCTAATGAACAAACTCATGACTGTGACGCTGAAATAGAAGGATTGCGTCTTACTGATCTTGGAGCTATTTTTGACGAATGGATAAATAATGATGAAGATTATGTAACCGATGATGAAGATGGCGATTATGTGCCGACATTAGGCGATGAAGATAGTGATAGTGGCTCGGATTGTTCAGATGACGACAATAATTCTTTATCGATTCAATCACAACAGGGTCGTCGAGCAACTGACGATGAAGAAGACGAAGAAAATGAAGAAATGAATCAGTTATTATCTAATCCTGATGAATTGAAAAAAACGAATTTCTACTTTTTGAAAAAAGTCCGAAAATTGATCAAAATGATAAACAAATCAAGCATTTTAACGGCCTTTGTTCGAAATGAAGTTAAACGAAAAGGAATTGATTGAGACAAGTCAATT